CTTCTCAAACAGCTTTCCGAAGTTGTTCATGACGCTTATTGGACGATAGTTGCTTATGTTTTTTTGATTTCCGGACTTATGGATTGGAGTGACAATCGTTGTTTTAAACTGACTGGGAACTATGCCGGTTTCGAAGCTTAAGTTAATTATATATGTAATGGGGATTAAAAGGCTTTGATGAATGTTTTTATGAGTTTGGCAGAGAGACCATCAATTCCAGGGGCGCAATTGTTTTTCAGTGAACTGATGTGTTTAATAATTTCGTTCTGACCAACTGGAAACAGAAACATGGTGGCATCACACACATTCTCTCTTCAATAGCATTCGCTGTTGGCTGTATTTGGTTTGCCATGTTTATTCCAACATTAATGAAGTAATTATTAATATAATTTGCCATATCTTTATCATTTTCAAATTTTTGATCATTATTATTTGTTATATTAATATATCCATTTTTAGTAGTTTGTTCATTTGTTGCCTCCGATATAATTTGATATATTTTTTTTAGGTTGCCCATGTTGTTATTTATTTGGATTATAGTAATCATTTTTGCATTTAACAATTAATTTGTTTAGGTGATTTCGATATGTTTTATATTCATGTTCAAGTTCAGCATTGTTGGATCGAAGTAGCCTTTTCTTTAATTTATCCCGGTGTTTAATTGCCGTAATAATGCCGTTTGTGATCCACGGTTTGATCTTTTTTCGCTCAGACAATTTTATTACATTTATTGTTTTTGTTTTTTTGATGTTAGGTATTTAAAACTATTTTGTAGAAGTTGTCTGTTGCTGTTTGTGGATTCTTGGCACTCGTAACACTGTCCCACTTTTCTTCCCCCAACAAGGTTCTAAGCCTATTGTAATTAATCTTAACTATTTGCTTTGTAGTAGGTTTGTCTTTGTTAGAGCCATTTGCAGTCTGATTTGGGGAGTCATTATATATATTTAGTGATCTGTCAAACCATTATTAAGTACAAAAGACTGGTACTTCAAAAAATTAGTTTTAAGTTTCTTTCTCACAAACAAATGATCTATGCAAGTAGCTGAAGTGCTTGTTTCCCTGGTAGCACAGTTTACAAGAGAAACAAAACCATGATGATTTAAAGTTGCTAGGTACAGGTTTATTATATGGTCATCCCTATTGTTTATATTCAAATTAAGATCCCCAACAAAAATTTCTATTTGGTGCTTCAAATGTTCCCTAAAATAGCCATCAATATCCTGAATAAACTGAGGTGCACTTGTTGGTGTTGGTCTGTATAAGCAATTTACACCAACACTAAGTGCCCCAATATAAAACTCCACTCGACCTAAAGTTACCAATGAGCAAAGCTTATAGTCTTTTATTTGAACATTCAAATAAGCTTTAGTTAAAATTAGGGTAGGTACCATCATTTTTATTAAAGTCTGCATGATTGTAGTGTGAGTCATAGCCCGGAAGGCAAAATGTATTGCAATCCATTTTAAAACATTCTGTTAAAATCATTATGTCACAATATTCCAACTCGAAAGTTTGCATAAACGCCAATAACTCATCATCATTTTTTTTATACTTCTTATATTGATGTGAACTAAATTGATTACCTTTTGTTTTAGGTTAATTTGAGTCTTTAAAATATCACAGTCCGTTACGTCCTTTGCAGAATGCACATTTTCATCCAGGTCCTCTAGAATATTAAGTACTTCTACTTCCTGTTTTGAAGCCATTTATGATATCTGGCCATAATCGATTTTGCTTCTCAAGACATCTATGTAATAGCAAAGTTGGACATTCTGGATTATTAGCTTCATGACTTACATCATATTTTGTGTTAAATTGGCGGTTTGCATTAACACAATTAATACACCTTTTGATTGTTCTGGGACATTCGCGCATATCATGATTCTCCGCACATAGCTCGCAGTTCGATTCTTGTCCACATTCGTTGCTTTTGTGATAGTATGCTTGACATTTAAAGCATCTTGGTATACTTAAGTCCTCAAATATTTGACAACGTTCCCAGCCCAGAAATACTTTTTTGAGAGACATGAATCTATGGAAGAGTTCTGGCGAGCATTCTCCATAAACTGTTCTTGTTTGTTTATTTGGGTTAGTTTTTATATAAGTTATTTTTATATTTTAAATTATCAGTCTCCGCTATAAAACCGATTTTACATTCTCATTTGGGTCCTTATTCTTGAAACAGGGGAGCACCTTCCCAAAAGAACGAGTGTTCCGTCTTTCTCAATGATATGCAAATGATAATATAAGCAACAAAGACGGAACACTCGTTTTCCTGGGAACGCTGCTCCTTGTTTTAAGAATAAGGACCCTGTCGTTTTTCATAAGCTATTATTTGACACCAACTATGAATTTAAACGAAGATTAAATTTACCCGGACTTTTTAATCATGGATTAAATTCAAAAAATTGGTGCCAAATGATAGTTTATGAAAAATTAGGTTAGGGATTATAAGATCGGTTTTGCTCTAAAATCCACCGTTTAGGTTTTACAGTCTGTCAAAGATGAAAAAAGTCAATTTTCAACTGTCAATATTTCCAAAACAGTTGAAAATAGGTACATGACATTGTTCATGAAATATGTCTAGAATTTTCCGCAGAACTCAGAAATGTCATAATATACAGGGTGATACATCTGAAAAGACAAAGTTTCTGATATTTCCCAAAAAACTAAAGATCTGACAACCATGTAAATACGAGTGTAAATACTACCATATTATCGGCCATATTACAATACTCTTTCAAACCAAAATTCATGCCGTTTTCGAGATAATTGAGGCGTTCCATACTTGAAACTCACTCTGTGTATTTGATATAGGCAATTACAATTGCTTTAATTGATTCGTTCCGGTGCAAGATCACTTTATGGAGTAAGTAGCCTCTATCCACCACGACGCACGTACTGACATCTATAGAAATATTTTCTGGAAGTGCTGAGTAGAAACGGGATGTTGTGCCTTTACACATTCCCTCTTCACAAAACAAAGCTATTGGGTACGGAGCCAACTCGTATTTTAAGTTATCTTTTAAGTCGTTATCTATCTGCTTTGTGATGCAGAGCCTTTAGAAAATGGTGAGAGGTTCTATTTGAACCTGCTTGTTGTGCACTTTAATGGTCGCTGTCGAAAGTTCTTACCTTGTCTTTCCGTTTAAAGCCAACTTTTCCAAATTCCAGTGATTTGCTTCACCCCGTCAATTCCTAATTCTTGTGTCATATGGCAATTAACTTCAGGGCCCCCAACAATGCCACTGCTTATTGACAGTATTTGCTCGTTAGATGGAATTGGTGTGTGGATATCGAACCAATTCTTAAGTTTCCCTACATCAGCGTTGTCTCGTTCGAATTCCCAAGGCCTCATGTCAACGTGTTGCACGGAAGTGGTACAGAAAACCTCCCAGAAATACTCCAGCCCTTCACAGATATTTAACATATACACCATTCCCCCTGTCCAACGAGCAAGAACACTACTAGGTATGCCTCCGCCATGGATCAAGCCTCCAAGTCTTTTCATTGAACTCATTAGCACCTGCTCAATGGTTAAGTCTGTCCTTAAGATCAAAATTTGTGGGATCGCCGAATTGTGAATTGTCCTTCTTGTGTAAACAAACGATATTCTTCAGGTTCCATTCTTACTTCTAGTTGATACGTGTCCTGTAGGTACAGACGAGCACTCTTGGCATAAAGAAAATGGCCCGCTGAGAGAAAAATGGAAGCATTCCGTTGATTGTATCAAGGTGAAGTTCCCAGTCTCCCATCCTCTCTGCCTGAATAAATTTCATAAGTGTTGTCATTTTGTAGTACTGCACCTAGAGCTTCGAAGTTGGACCTTGTTTTTCTAGAACATACATGGCAGTTTTCAATTTAGTGATTAGAATTTGGACAATTTCATTTTTTCTGGCATGTTGTAAAAGACATCTTTCGCTACTATTGAGTATTTTTCCGGTTTCTAATCGTTCTTCACCTGTAAATTTTATATTTTCGTTTAAAGTTTTTTAAGTTTTTTTTTTAAGTTTGTTTTATTGACGGACTATGCCATTACGTTTAAAATTTCGTTTGCCAATGCAAGATTAGTAAGCATGCGGACTCTCACACCTCTTGAACATGCATGCCCATTAAGAATCTTCTCCACACTGTTCTCAGCATATATTGTTGTTAGAAGCTCCTTGAGTCCAGTCCCGGCCATTATGGCGCCAATAGCCCCCATAAATGACATTAGAAGGTGAAAGCCTCCGAGTCTTACTACTACACACCTCAGCTGTGGATATTGGCAGCTCTCCATGATGTCTCTGGCTTTCATGTATAAGGGTTAATCGTACGTAACAAAACACGTTTCCTGAGGATGAGCGGCGCTTCATTCACTGGCTACAGGGAGAGATGTCAACACAGTGTCGTTATCTGTAGGGGGAGCATGAATAAATAGAAAAAATATAATTTCGGAGCGCTTGTAATTAAGATCTTTTGTAACCTGCTCCATAAAGCCATTTTAGCTAGGTATGCCTCGAATCTTGGTAGATTTTCCGTATAACCAGAGCAGGTCTGCGGCAGCGGGCAGTATGTCGGCAGCTATTTTTAAATCAGTAGGTAATTGTAATAGCTGATCAACCATCATTCTTTTTTACTATGGACTGTTTCAGTTGTGAACCAACGTGTGAACTTATTGAATCTGCGGAAACATATTTCAAACGAGGTATATTTTTGTCCGGTACAACAGAGGAATATGGCGTAATGATCATTATACTACCCATTTCCTCGGCATTATCCCACACAAACTGCATCAATGCTCCTCTTTTAATCTGTTGGTTTAATTCTCCGCGGAGTATAGCAGAGCTTTCAACACGCATTGCTTCAGTGTAAGTGCGTGAAAACCCCATAGTATTACAGAGGTTAACAAGGTGCTTTGACCAAAATTTACGATATAGGTACGTACCAAAACTTATCTGTATTGAGGACAGGAAAGATTTGGGCCTCACCGCGACCATGATTGCGCGGGAAAACCCTACACATTTCTTTTTCCAGGCATCGAGCGAGACGCATTTGTATTTTAGCATGATGGTTTTAAGGAACATTTTCAGAGATTCGGGAACACAATCGTCAGCATCTTTCAAAAAGTCATCTGATGGAGGATACTGAGTAATTTCATATGTTTGAGAACGAATGTCTTCCAAAATTATCTGTGCTGCAGCCTTCAACACTCTTAGACGTTCTTCTGAAGGGTTGCTTTTTCTTTCCTTGTGCCAATTTTCTGTCCAATGTCTTTAAAACTCATGATAGAATTGCGGCTGCGATCAACTTCAGTGAACATAATTTTTTCATCATATCGCCTTGTGTGTTTGACACTTCTAATATCAGGCTAGTAATCACCTGTGAAGTTATGTGTGCTGAGGTCATTTAGAGAAAATTGACATTCATCTCTGTTTTCTGCTAGGTATGCATATATTCGCTCCATACCCTCTAATAGGTCACTTGGCTCTGGCCACCCTCTTTTTACTCCACTTTTTGAGGGCATCTGGTACAAATTTTTTTGGCACAGTTGGTGATACCTACCTTCAGCAGCAACTAGGTCACTTATACATGCAAGACGCTGAATAATTTGTTGTCCCCATTCGTCATCTCGACGTGCAGCTATTTCCAGAATCGTATCATTCATACTCAGTAATTCTACCTGGTGAACAAGATTTCGTCGTGAAAGAGGCAATTTTTGCTGGTGTTTCAGAAATTCAGAGGTAATATTTTCTCCACAAAGAAAGAAAATATTCTCCAGTAGAGCCTGTAGTAGAGCCTGAAAGTTCAAGGCTTAGAGCCCAAGGCTGAGGCCCCTATGTCTCTGTGATGTTGAAGCTCTATCAAGTGCATCTCCTCCACGACGCACAGATGCTAAAATATTACTTTCAACAGAGTACCTCTTTCTACATACATCATGAACGGTGACTTCATTAAAGTTGCTCAAAAATTGTTTGTTCTGGATAAGTTCACGTTTTTCATTTACTTCAATTAGCGTTTGAATATCGCGTCTTTTCACAATAGTAATTTTCCCTTCTTCGATTGTAGAGCGACAAATAAAATAAACACCTGAAGGATCCGACGACATTTTGTACTAAGCACTTCGACAATTTTGTTTCAGTTAATTAAATATCACGTTTTTATAGTTGTGTTCACTAACAATTGAACAAAGAGCGACTGCTTCACTAATGTCAATTAAAGGCGTTTAATCGGTCGGTCACAGTTGACAAATAACCAATGAAGCACACGTCATTTGTCAACCAATCGGTATGAAATGAAGTTAAATGCATTGTTCATCTGTCAGTCGCCTTCAATTTACTTAAACTCAACTACATTGCGGTAACCAGTTACAACTCTCCGCGTTTTTTGAAGCCAAACGTTCCAACCAATAGGCGAGCGTGGAGCATGCGCGCACTGAGTGAAGGCATCCCGTATATGGAAAAGCATTTTGGCACTATACAGTGACTCTATACAAGACAGTGGCGACAATAGCGCCTAAGCTCTGCTCACCCTCCATGTGTCGAACTCATCCAATAATGTATTTGTTTTTTATTGGATGAGTATTAGTCCCCAGTACATCGACCCTAAAATTTTGTAACTCATGTACACGCCAAACTTCCTGAGCGGCTTCATAACACCAAGTCGGACAATATTTTTCATATCTCCACCCTGGGCGATGGGACATTGCCGCGATAGCTCTTCGTGAAGTTGTCGTTCTGACGTCCCTAAGGAAGTTGATACATGTACGTGTAGTTTCAATACCAATCGACTGTTTTTTATATTTCATTAACAATATCACATTTGTCGGACAAAAACCATGTGGCTTTGGGGAAGGTCCGACGCCCTTAACATGTCGCTGTGGCGTCCCTGAGGAAGTTGATACATGTACGTGTGGTTTAGATGCCAATCAACTGTTTTCTATGTTACATTATTGATATCACATAGGTCGGACAAAAATCACGTGGCTTTGGGGGGGTCCGACGCCCCCAAAATGTCGCTGTGGCGACCCTAAGGAAGTTGATACATGTATGTCCGACAAAAATAATTATGAATAACAATGTAATTTTAAAACATGTGTAGTAAATGTCGGACAAATAAAATCAGTATTAAAGTCAGTCGGACAACAATAGTCCTTTTGATCAATTTCTGCCGAAATTCAGAATCTTCACTCCTGAGATCGCACAAAAAACACGACTGAATATCCATTCTTTCTCACACGCGTGGTTTTGAATGACCGTTTACAGAATAATTTCCGTAAATACTCGGAGAACTATCAAAAAAACAGATCAGGGAATATGACACAGGGCCCCACAGGTATTTGTCAAAGTAGGTGAATAATAAACTGACTAATATGCACGTTGCGTTAAGGCAAACTAATTTCAACAACTACTCCATGTAGCTTAAGACTCGTAACAAATGTCCTTCCACATTAATCTAAGAATTTTAAATGTATCAATTATTCTTCCTGATAAGAATTTTTCAAATATGTCTACACATAAAGATTATGAATCTAAGTTCTTTAATGATCATTCCCAGTGGGACATGAGCGGAGAAATGTCAAAATTGATATCATCATGGATTTTGGGTTCACCGAAAGCTCACTTTACAAATAGTAACAACTTTGGGTGGTGAATAATAAACTGACTAATATGCACGTTGCGTTAAGGCAAACTAATTTCAATTTTTTCATTGATTGTCCCAAATTTCTTGTCCGACAAATGTGATATCGTTAATGTAATGTAAAAAACTGTCGATTGGTATTAAAAACACACGTACATGTATCAACTTCCTTAGGGACGCCACAGCGACATGTTGAGAGCGTCGGACTCCCCCGAAGCCACGTGCTTTTTGTCCGACATATATGATATCGTTAATGTAATACAAACAACAGTCGATTGGCATTAAAACTACACGTACATGTATCAACTTCCCTAGGGACGCCACAGCGACATGTTGGGGGTGTCGGACCTTCCCCAAAGCCACATGGTTTTTGTCCGACAAATGTGATATCGTTAATGTAATGTAAAAAACAGTCGATTAGCATTGAAACTACACGTACATGTATCAACTTCCTTAGGGACGTCAGAACGACAACTTCACGAAGAGCTAGCGCAGCAATGTCCCATCGCCCAGGGTGGAGACATGAAAATTATTGTCCGACTTGGTGTTATGAAGCCGCTCAGGAAGTTGGGCGTGTACATGAGTTACAAAATTTTAAGGTCGATGTACTGGGGACTATATGTATATTTTTCTGCGATTGACAAGAAATGTCAGCATTTTTGACCGGTTGACAGGTCGCAAAACTCAATATTCTGGTATTTCAATTATGTTTCAATAGTTGCTAAAGAATCAATGAATAACGATACGGAAACACTTTTCCGGCCTAGGCCGGGAAAGTGATTCTCGTATTGCTAAATAATTGGAACTGAAAGACAAACATTTAACAGGTATTTAACCGATCGCAGAAAAAATAGTATGCTTATTTCGGTGGAAAAGCACATTCTGGGCCTTCGGTGTTTGCCGGTTCGGCTACGCCTCGCCCGTCAACTTACACCAATGACATCAAAACACAGATAGACCGAACAATAAACAAAATTTTCGTATGACAACATCTCTCTGTCTCTTTTGGGTCTTTGCAGTGGCGGCTCGTCGTATAAAGCAACTGAGGCCGGGCCTCACATGTAAAAATTACAATAATGACGTAAAATTTTGAAATAATATTTATCAAATATTTAACGTTTTTCAACTATTTTCAATCATTAAAAGAATCAAAACATCGAATTTTCATTAAAATATAATACTATTTCTTGAATTTAGCGCGCGCTTCTACCTCTTTATCCTTATAGGCGCTCAAATCGTTGCCGGACAGCATTAAAATAAAATAGCAATCCCAAAAATTTTGGCCTCATGTGCGTCACAGAACGCCGAAGCGATGCCACGGCACTCCCCACCACAACGCATCAACTGTAGGTGAGACGATAGCGAATTTTTATAGGTATTGAGGCGCACGATTTTGGGCTTGTTATTGTTAATAAGAAACCTTGCAGCGCTTGCTGCTGCGACAAGTATTTAATTGGTTAATTGGCTCATACTTTTTATTTTGGTCTGTTGCGGGTTAAAAAACTGTTTTTTGGAATTTATTTTGTTAATTTGAAACTCAATATTTGTATTAAAATAAGAATTATGTACCTACTGCTGTTGTTTTGCAACTGTAAGAAATGAAAATTTTCATTAGAAATATACAAAAAAAAATATCCGAGATGTTCTTTTGATGAAATTTTGGGTCAAAATTTGGGCGTAACACTTGAAAATTTTGTTTGGGTTTACTTGATGGGCCATGGGCCTCACCAGTTTGGATTGTCACGAGCCGCCACTGGGTCTTTGTACTATCCCCACCACTGAGAATGCCAAATTTTGTCTTGAATCCCTAAATAATATATTTTTCTCCTCTAATTAACATTTTCAATTTTATTTCTGAACTCAATTTGGCAACAGCAGATTATAGCAAAACACCGCCCAGAAGCGGCTTGTTGAATGCCAGGCAGGTGTTGATTGTAGTAGCTAGCTATCTTTATTGCAAACAGGGATTATTCATTAGCGTTAAATAAGAAACGACTAACACGATATTGGTACTCCCAGAATAAAGGGCTCGTATCGAATATTTTCAGTTTATTTGTCAATTTGTTATTTTATTTATTCATCCAATTAAATTTCGAGATATATTCACGTGTGGGCGGGGTTTTTTACACCATTTTGAGCAATGATGTCTCCCTACCCCGACCCCGCGAGCAACTCACCTCCCCTGGCCCATGGGTGGTCTTGTCAACACAACAAATTAAATAGTTTATGAATGGGATGATCCGTCTATCTGTGTTTTGATGTCATTGACTTACACCGTCGGCCGAGAATGTGTCGCTTTTCCACCTAAATACACAATATACTACTATTGTATTATTTATATGTACCTATATAAACATATTATAGGTACCATTTTAATATCTTTTTCTAACATTCAATGAGGCTAGACAATTTAAGTTATAAAAATATTGTAGGTACACAAATCCTTACTCCCCACACAGGAGCTAATATTCCGATATTTGCTGCACTACACCACTAAACATAAGCTAACATTAATTTTTTATCACAAAATGGACAATAATAATAGGCACAAATAACAAAAATATATTAGCACTAAATTGCATAAAACTTCATAGTATTAAATGGTAAACATACATAACTTTTGACTAAACATGGCGGATATTCTGGAACCAATCAAAAGTGAGACACTCTATTGTCTTGTATAAAGGCATTGTATTTGGCACGTACCTACGTCTATCTCTTTCCAATCCTCTGTCCATGCCTAGGGCTTCGCAAGACCAAGACCAAGACCAAGACTGGCCAGTCTTGGTCTCGAAAAATAAATGCGGTCTTGGTATTGGTCTTGGTCTTGATGTTTCGAGACCACGACAAGACTGCCTCAGTCTTGGTCTTGGTCTTGATAGTCTTGGTCTTGATCTTGATAGTCTTGAAAAAAATTTATACCAAATTTTTAAAATATACCTACATAACATCCAACGACAGAGCAGAGATAATGGGTTTAGGACTTCAAAAATAAAATATTAACTTCCCTTTCTGAAAAAATTATGCCGACGTTTCGACCATGCATGTGGTCTTCTTCACAGGCTATTTTTATCACCAAAAAATCAAAAATACCTACCTTACCTACCTGAGCATTCAGACCAGAGAAAGGTTTTCGAGAACCCTCACATAGTCACATACCTCATTTGAATTTTATTGGCCTATTCACAATAATTAAATTTGGGTTAGTTTGGATGAGATGTGGGGTTTGTGTTAGTTTGGGTTAGTTAGTTAGTTAAGAATTATCTTTGGAAATTCCAATACCAGGTATTGTATTATGTAGGGATAAGAAAATATCGATGTGTTCTGTGTGAATGAATGTTATAGTTTTTCCAAAGTCAATTGGAACAAGGTGATCATAAATCATAACTGGTGGCTGACTAGTGGCAGTGCATTTCTTATGGAAATTTTCAGTGACCAGTCAGCCACCAGTTGGTACTTTGTTCCAAT